AGAGAGAGAGAAGGAGACAGAGAGAGAAGGAGAGAGAGAGAGAAGGAGAGAGAGAGAGAAGGAGAGAGAGAGAGAAGGAGAGAGAGCCAGGGAGACAGACAAAGAGAGATAGAGAGAGATAAAGACCGACAGAGAGCAGATATGAAAAGAGACTGGAAAGAGATAAGAAGAGAGAGAGAGAGAGAGAGAGAAGGGGAGAAAGAGAGAGAGAGATAAAGACACACAGAGAGTAGATACAGATGGAGATAGATAGAGAAGAGGAGAGAGAGAGAGAAGAGAGAGAAAGAGAGAGAGAGATAGACACACAGAGAGTAGATACAGATGGAGATAGAGAAGAGGAGAGAGAGAGAGAGAGAGAGAGAGAAGAGGGAGAAAGACAGAGAGAGATAAAGACACACAGAGAGTAGATACAGATGGAGATAAGAGAAAGAAGAGAGAGAGAGAGAGAGGAGAGAAAGAGAGAGAGATAAAGACACACAGAGTAGATACAGATGGAGACAGAGAGAAGAGGAGAGATAGAGAGAGAGAGAGAGAGCGCGTTTGCAGTAACCACTTGTCCTCTAAAACTCCTGCAAGCCTCAGCGGGCACTTGTGTCCCCATCACCCCTGGGTCCCCAGCACCTGTGGCCTTCGCTCAGTTGTGGGATCGTTGGGGACAGGTTTTCCTCCTCTGCAGGGTGGTGGCGAGTGATGGACAGGGACGGAGTGACAATGGGGTGAGGACAGCGGGGACACGGTGTGTGACCGGCGATCGCCCCAAGAGAAATACTGAGGTCACACGAACGTGGACCCGGGAACGACGGAAATGTCCCCGGGCTGCGGGGGACACCTCGGTGACACTGCAGGACACGATGAGGCACGTGTCACCCACGTCACCCAAATGTCACCCACAGCACCCATGTGTCACCCATGTCACCCACGGGTCACTCACCTGGCGATGCCTGGGTCACGAGGAACGTGGGGACCAGAGACGTGGACACGAGGAGCAGAGCCACCGGGGTCATGGGGCTGACTGTGAGAGAGGAAAGAGAGAGACAGAGAGAGAAGAAAAAGAAAGCGGGGAGGAGAGAGGAGAGCGAAAGACATAGGGAGAGAGACAGAGAGAGAAAGGAGGAAGAGAGAGAGAGAAAGAGAGGGAGAAGAGCAGAGAGAGAGGACGGAGGAGAGAGAGGGAGAAACAGAGATAGAGAGAGTGGAGAGAGGGAGAGAGAGAGAGAGAGGAAAAGAAATAGAGAAGAGAAGACAGAGATGAGAGAGAGTGAGAGAGAGGAGAGAGAAAGAGAGAGAGAGTGAGATAGGACAGAGAGGGAAAGCAGAGGAGAGAGAGGAGAAAAAGAGAGGAGAGGAGGACAGAGGACAGAGAGATGAGAAAGGAGGGGGGAGTGAGAGAGAGAAAAAAGGAGAGACGAAAGACAGAGATGACAGAGAGGAGACACAGAAGAGAGAGAGGAAAAGAGAGAGAAAGAGAGGGAGGGAGAGAGAGGAAGAGAGAGAGGGGGAGGAGACAGGAGAGAGAGACAGAGAGGAGAGAGAGAGGAGAGAGAGAGAGTGGAGTGAAGGAGTGAGAGAGACAGAGAGGAAATAGAAATAGAGAGAAGAGAAAGAGAGGCAAGAGCAGAGAGAGAGAGGGAAATAGGAGAGAGAGTAAAAGAGAGAGAGGAGAGGAGAGACAGAGGACAGAGAGATGAGAAAGAGGACAGGGAGAGTGAGAGAGAGAAAGGAGAGACGAAAGGAGAGAGACACAGAGAGAAAGAGAGAGATGGCAGAGAGAGGAGAGACAGGAGAGAGAGAGGAAAAGAGAGAAAGAGAGGGGAGAGAGAGGAAGAGAGAGAGGGGGAGGAGACAGGAGAGAGAGAAAGAGAGGAGAGAGAAAGACACAGAGGGAGACGAGAAATAGGGGGAGAGACAGAAGGAAAGAGAGGGAGGAGTCAGAGGTGACAGGACAGGGATGAGAGAGAGAGAGAGAGAGACAGAGAGGAGAAGCAGAGAGAAAGAGAGAGAGGAGAGAGAGACATAGAGAGAGGGAGAGACACAGAGAGGGGAGTGAGAGAGAGGAGATAGAGAGAGAGAAAGAGAGAGAGAGAGAGAGAGAGAGAGAGAGAGAGAGAGAGAGAGAGAGAGTCACGCGATGAACTCTAAAATGTCCCCTGAAGCCCTGTGCATGTGCAGTTGCACACGGCACGCACTGCACAAAACCCTGGCTGCCCTCGACCTCCCGGCCCCCGACACCCACGGTCGCTCACTTCTCCTTTCTCTCTTGTCCCTTTTCTGAGAAAAATAAGTGGCAAAGTTTTCTCTTCCCTTGTGGGGACACTTTATTTTCTGAATAATCACACAGCGGACTGAGTCCTGTTGCACTTTTAAGTAGAAAAGGGACTGAGCAGTATCCCAAAAGCCTGTCCCTTAATGTCACCCAGCCATATGTGGCACCCTGGTGACTTGGGTCTTTATTGACACAACACCAACCCCATGAAACTTCGGGGTGTGGAAACTACCTATATTTCCTCCTCATTGCCTAAAATTAATTGTTTTTGCAATTCTGGACCTTCATCCTCCTATTTATGCCTCCTGCATAGCTGAGATTATAGACGTGAACCACCACACCCAACTTATTGCTTCAGATGGGGTCTCACTTTTTTTTTTTTTTTTTTTGCCCAGGCTGCCTTTCAATATCAATCCTACATCGATGTCCCAGGAAAAAAATGCAAGTCTTCATCAACCACAGACCATAAACAAAGCCATGCATTATTTATGCTTTTCTCTCCTTTTTGTTGGGGAAGGGTGCAGCTACCTTTTGGCTAAGTTCAGTGTGCAAAAGTAAGAAGGCCCTTCCTCTTGGGGGACAGCAGTACACAAGCTAGGGTGACTCTGACCCAAGCAAGGTCAGGTCCATGCCATTCGTGTGTGTGTGTGTCAAGGTTCAACTCCAGGTTTGCCCTAAATCGCTCCAGGTTTGTAGACACCTCTGCTGTTCTTACTGAACCCCCTAAAATTCTGGGGTCATTGAACTCAGGTCCGTGGCCATGCAGAGCAACATAGGACAAATTAGGGAAGGTCAGACAGAGCTGATGGATCCAAAGGTGGATGGTGAGAAACACCAAAGAAACCAGGTGTGACAGCAGGTAGGATCCAGGTGCTATCAGCAGGTATTGCAGGTGATGGGGTGACCCCATGTCCCCCATCCTAGTGGCTGTCCTGACACAGCTAGAGACACCACAACTGCAATGACCCCCTACGCCATCTCAGGAAGCAAACCGGGTGCAGTGGTGCACACCTGTAATCCCAGCACTCAGGAGCCAGGACAGCAGGATGTCAAGGTCAAGGGCAGCTTGCTCTACACAGAGGGACCCTGCCTCAAAAAAACAAAACAAAATAAAATAAAAGCCAACTTCTCCATGACAAAGGTGACGTCATGTGGCATGATTCCAGCACAGGACAGGCCGGAAGGCAAAATTACCAAGAAGATGGCAGAAGGTCAAGCTATTAGAAGTCGAGCACTAACCATAGTCTTTTCTTTCTTCCTTCCTTCCTTTCCTTCCTTTCTTTTTTTCTTTATTCTCCCTCTCTGTCTCCTTCCTTCCATCAGTGGCTATATTGACACATGGTGGGTACCTTAAGAGGTGGAGCCTAGTAGGAGGAAGTGAGTTCATTGGGCGTGGCCTTGATGGGAGGTGATGGGATCTCCAGGAGGCGTGGCTTACTGGGAGGAAGTGAGTCACTGGGGGGCGTGGCCTTCATAAGACTTGGTGGGACCTCCAGGAGGCGTGGCCTAGTGGGAGGAAGTGAGGTCACTGGGGGCGTGGCCTTGATAGGACTCTTGTGACCCCAGTCTTCTCTTCCTCCTCCTCCTCCTCTCTTTCTCCATTTTGGAAGACCGTCCTATAATGCCTCCCCAGTTGCTTTCTTCCTTTGTCCTGCTCAGGATGAGTGAGCGTCAGCCCCTCTGGACATATTTAGTTGGCCCTGTCACCTTCATAAACTTGTCTGGTTCATTGGCTTTTGGTTCACCCAGCTTCCACCCCATGAACCCAAGACAGGTGGAAGAAGGAGACAGACTCCATGCCCTTTCTCTTCTTGGGCCATTTTGTTTCCTTCAGTGGCCTCCATCATGGTTGCTCTGCAGCAGGTGCCAGGGGGACGGACACCTTTCTCACTAGGAGTGCGACATGCCCATGACTCTCCCGACATTTGTCACTTCCCCAATCGGACTTCCTCTTACTCCAACTTCCACTTGCCTTATTATGGCCTCGTGTGGTGATGGCGCAAACCCATCAACTTCTTTAAACTTGGCTTTGGGGAAAAAAAAAAAAAAAGCAACTTGACCTTATGCTCTCAAAGACCCCCAGAGAGGCATGCGTCTTTGTGTCTCTCTGTCTGTCTGTCTGTCTGCAGGGATTCCTGGCTGTATCGTAGAGGTTGTGGTCCAGGGTGTTCACCTTTAATATTTCTCCCAAACCAGCAGCCCTCTAGAATTGCCCAGAGCCAGATTGCTTTCCTTCCTGCATTCACTTTTACCTTGATTTTAAAATATGCAATTAAAAATTCCCATGACCTTGGGTTGAGGAGTGAAGGTCAGTGGTAAAGGACTTGCCTAATATGGACACAAATAAGCAATAAAAATTCACAGGACACATTAAATTTGCCCTTTTGATGACACCAATTCAGGGGCCTTCAGTGACAAATATTGTGCAACCATCATCATATCTTTGTCCCAGAGTTTTCTGAATCACCCCAAAATACCTTGGCCCCACTAGCAATCACTTCCCTCTCCTTTCCCCCAGCTCCTGGTGGCCATTAATGCATTTTCTTTGTCTCTGTGCATTTGCATGTGTTGCATATTTCAGACGCATGCAAAATCACCCAGTATTATTTTGCAGCCACAGCTGAGAGGGTTTGGATATGGTGTGTGACCCAAACAGGTTATGCCCTCCCATGCTGGGGTTCCCCTGTACTGCCACCGAGAAATTGGGGGACATTTTAATTAGATGAGGACACCATCT